TAGATATCTGGTCAAGTTTCACCGCTTCTCTAAATATTCATTGTGGCATCACCCACACAGTGAAGCCACACCGCCACATCTTTCATGATCTGCGTGGGCCCCATCAGTCATCCTCTTTAAAGTGACCTTTCATATTCCCACAGTCAGAATTCTTCAGGCACTAACTCACAGGCCGTTCAGTGTTTTCTCCCTGAAGGAACAAACAAGCAACCTAATAAAACCAAATCACCTGACCAGAATCATTTTCTGAGCCCACGTACTGAATGTTAATTAATGTAGATGTTTGTGGGTGAAAAGGGAAGCAAGAAGAAAAGGAAGCTTTAAATGTCACTTCAAGCTGTTATTTTGGTGAAGTTTGTTGACATTACTATTAATATAATACCCAAGTTTTGGTCCTAATACCAAAAAGACCCTTTATCGCTCCCCTTCAGTGATATATATATAAAAAGTCGAAGGTCTCAAGTGTTAAATATCGTCTAAAACTGGCAAAATTTAGGATGTTTATTAAATTTATCCTCAGTGTTATTTCAGGCTTTTATATCTTCACTTTTTCATTATTATCAAAGTGTCTCTTGTAGATTGTAGGATTGAGAAAGACTGAGGACGGCTTCTCTGCTGATATCCTCCAGCATGATCATAACGCAGAGATTTGAAAGGTTTATCTGCCTTTAGCCTCCGTATTCGACCTCATCTCGCCTCGTCTGAAACACGTCGTAGAGCGGATGCAAGCAAACGGAGTAAATCTATTTTAAAAACAGACAGAATCCCGCTGAATCGAAAAGACTTCTTTAACTCTCTCCCACCCCACTGCACAGCTCTAATTTTTTTTTAGGTTTTCCTTGTGCTCTTTACCCTCCAGATGTCATAGAAATTTATAACTGTAATTATGCTTCCTTAATAACATGTTTGTCCCCTCAGCTCATCAACCTGCTTGCATGTGCTCCCTGCCAAGTGCACTTGCCAAAGCCTGCTGCACATGTTTGATGTTGTTTGTTTTATCCCTCTGTGTTGTTCTGCTCTCTCTCTCTCTCTCTCTCTGATGTGTTTTGGGTCGGCGGTGTTGCTGTTGTGTCTGCTGTGTCGACGGAGGTGTCTCCTCTTCGCTGCCAGACAGGCACCCGTGAACTTTGTTGTTTTGCTCGCCGCCTCCTGTCTGCGTTGCGCAGCACCGCTGCATTGTGGGAAGGCGAACTAACTGCTCTTTTCCGAGCAAAGACAGCAGGCTGCAGTCTGGTCTTCCTGAGCCTTCTGTTTCTGTGTGTGTGCCTCCAATCTTTTTTTTTCTAACTTTGCAGGAGTCCCCCTCTCCCGCTGTGATCTCCCAGGTTTTCAGGGGTCTGGTCTGGGCTGACTGGAGCATTTATGCACCTTGTGCTTCTCCGTTTCTCCCCTCTGGCTCGTTAAAGTCTAAATTCCATCAGCAGCTTTGAAGTGTGCTGAGTGTGTTTGTATGTGTTTTTTCTGTTGCTCTGCGTGGGGATATTTGCACTTGTTGCGCCTGTAGAGCAGATGTTTTTAGGAGACACTGCTTTGCTCAGGAGTTTTCATGCAAGAACAATTTGAACCTTTTTTCCGGATCAACATCGTGCATGCAGGAAGCTGCCGCCTCTGTCTTCACCTCCATACAAACCTCCAGCGCTCTGGCATGATACCATCCGACTACCTGCTGCTCTTGAGCCGGCTCTGGGACCAGAAGAGGACAAAGAACGATAAATTGACTGCAGTCTGCAATCTTCTTGTCAAAGCAGAGTGAAAAAAGAGCATTGCTGCCTTTAATCTGGCAGCTGAGCCCCACAGTAGCATTTTTTCCGCTGCTTTTGAAAAGCTCCATTGAAGTGGTACCTGCCTGCCTTGCTCAGAAGGAGGTTGCTGGTTCCCAACCAGGTGTTTATCTCTCCTCTCTTCTCTGCTGCCCTTGTTGTACGCTTCAGAGGGTTAATCCAGTGTATGCATTAGCAATGAGTAAAAAAAAAGAACTGCTTGCCCAGCGCTATCCTCTCTCACCATGAAAATATGAAGGACCTGGAACTCTTATTACTGTCATGTTTGCCTTTAACCTGTCATATAATCTGGGCCTCGACTCTGCAAGCAGGCACAGTGGAATCCTAGTAAATACAACCATATTAATGCACTTAGAAAGCTCTGGCTTGGCAGTGGCTGAAGAAGCACTATTGCACATGATTTATTGCTGGTCTGAGAGAGTCTGAGGACTTTGTCTTCAAATGTTGAGTCATCTGTCAAACATGGTTCCACACGGCAGCGAATCCCGGCTGCAGCCAAGAGCTCGTCGGTCACTTCACGGTCAGCAGACGTGAGTGAAGCGCTGGGAGCGGCCATCTCTCTGCCAGCCTGCTTCATGTCAGCTCCCCTCTACCCTCTGTCACTTTTCCAGTCTGTGGTGCGCATTCTTGCGGACGACAATTTTGCGCGGAATCTAAAACATGTCACACTTTTCACCCACGAGTCTTTGTGCCTCATTCATGTATAAACAGAAAGAATCTGCAGAATCTGTTGTGCGTGTAGAAGGGCTTTCGTGCCAACCAGAAAGTTAACATTGGCAACAACTGGCATGTACAAGAGACGGCGCACATATGTGGCCCTGATTAGGGTCACTCCAGTTCATGAAGGCAGTTTTGAGTGACACTCCTCTACAGTGATGTTATAAATATTCAACTCAAACCTCCTCTTTTTTGTTTTGTTTGCACAACACCAATATATTGAATCGTGACAGGCTTGAAGAAATGGATGGAGTGTTTTTCTGGTTCGTACTGGGTGCCAGTTGTCATCAGACGAGCAGGCAGAGCTCATGTGATGACAGGCGAAGCTCAAGAGATCCTCAGTTCTAGGACAGTGTCGGTGTACAGTGTCCGGGGACAAACCGCTCTACAGTCTCTGAGCTTGTTGTCAAACTTTGGTGCATCCACAAAGCCAGACGCCGCTGTCGCACAAACACACAGGACATGCTTGTGTGTAGTACCTAACTTATGATCAAATGAATGTCTTGGAGCAGCTACACGGCTGTGTTCTCTGCTGTGTTGCATTTGCATTCAGGAGAATCACTCAACATAAATGTCACGGGCCGACACTCATCATATGTTCCAAATTCGAAAGCTGTAATGTCATTATACTCCTGGATTCCAACACTGCGGTGCCAGTGCATGATTGAAATGTCAGATTTGACTTGTTAGTAGTTTAAATTCCTGTTAAAGTATTAGATTTTGCATGAAATTAGATTTAAAACCAGACACTCTTTGATCTCTGTTTTAAAGATGAAGCTCAGTGTAGAACAATGATGTTTCATGATGTCACATGTTTTTGATTCATGCGTCCTCGTATCTTATCGACAGCGATTGTGAACACAATCTTTGCTCTTGTGTTTTCTGCCTTTTTCTAACGAGCTCTTTCATACCCAACGGTTGGATGACACCACTTCCAATTAGGCAAAAGAGCTGTTTTTTTTTCATACTTGCAGGGAAAATTACTTTTAGATTGTGGATTTACTTCTGTTTGTCAAATTCGTTTCACCTCAGAGCCTTTAAATGAAACACCCGAGTTAGCCCGCTGGAATCGCAGCGAAAAACAAATCACAAACGGGATAAAGACTGCTGGAGGCTTTATTGGCACTTCCCAAGCTATTACATTGAATTTAAAGACCAAAGTGTTTAATCACTGTGGTAGATTTTAAAAGATTGCATAGTATTTGATGAATACACAGTGGATTAGGGGAGGCAGGCTGATTCATCTGTCTGAATGTGATCTGGGAGGGTGTCACAATGCATCTTCTATCTATCGCTCTGCTCGCTGATCTGTCTGTGATTGTTGGAATGTTTCACACATCGCAAAGTTTTGCCCACACACAAGAAAAGCAAACATTTATATAGTTCAAGAAAGTTTAAAAAAAAAAACTAATGAACTAAGATATAAAAGTGTTGTGGCTGCTTCCATCACTTTATGAAAACCTCAACCAAAGTGTGTGTCTGACAGCAGTCCAAAACCAATACCGTAGCATTCATTTAAAATAATTGCCTATTTTCTATTTTCACTTTCATGGTCTTATGGATTAATATTAATCTTAAAGAACTGAGTTTAATATACATCTAAGATGTTGGACTTGGTCTCCTTCCAGTTATTGCCATTTGTCAAATACTTTTTTTCCCCTCGTTGGCACGTCAGACTTAGAAAATGAGCTCTCTCATCGCACATGCACACACAGAGTCGACAATGTTTTATTCCTAATCTGTATTTGCTCTCACATCTGACTGCGTACATTTTTTAGATTCAAGTTCTCTGTCGCCATGACTCAAACATCCACGTCCCCTTCACCCCCTCTTTCCCTTCTCCTCGTCCTCCTTTGCCGCCTCCTCCTCCTCCTTCTCCTCTTCTCGTTTCTTCGGAAGCCAAATAGTTGGCTTGCCTCTTGGCAATTCACGCTGAAACTTTCAAACAGAGGCCTGAATACTTGTTGAGTGTGTCATCATAGATTGTTCTTTGGGGTGGGTCAATGAGGTGAAGTGTTAATCACAAACATGATTATAAAGCCTGAACAAGTTAAACAAAACCATGAGACGAGCGAGGAGTGTGCAGCACATGATGAAATACAAACCAGGTTTTCCACTGAACCGACTCTCCTCCCAAAGTGAAACACATTTTCCAAATAAATGTTGAAAAAATAGAGTTATCTGTTGCCATACCTGCTCACTTGCTGCCTTTGTAGATTTGATTAGGCGACATTAAATAAACATCCAAAAGAAGGATGTAATTAAACTTTATCACACCTTTGAACTGATCTCTGCTATGCATGAGAAAACATGGAAATGTCCTCACTGCACCACAATGTTTGCATGAGAATCCTTGCTTGTGTTGTATCTGCTCTCAGATGTACGTCGCTTTGGATGAAAGCGTCTACCAAATGAAACCGTAGAAATGTTGAGAGTCAGTATGTGATGCAAGTTATATTTAGTCGTTGTCATTTTTTCACTCTGGTCTTGTCTCCCCCACAGTGCCCGGAAACCTGGGCTGCTTCAAAGACAGCGGTGACCCTCCGACTCTGTCCGGCACCAGCCAAACCTCCAACAAGCTCACCATTCAGAACTGCATCAGCTTCTGCAGGAGGCAAAGATACAAGGTGAGTTTTGGAGCTAAATTAGAACCGTAGCAAATAAAGAGAAAACCTGCAGCCCAGGAGACGCACACGTTTAATGTGTAGTCAAATTAAAGCTGGCAGGTTCTGTTGGAGAAGAATATTAAAAAATAACATAGAGAAAAATGTAGGTAATCTATCCTGGCCCTTAAAACTGTGTCCGCTTATTGGATGAGCAAACATCCAGTAAATTGCCAGTGTCGTGTTTGAACTGGACACAAGGAGTCTTCAGGCTTTTATGTAAATCATCTGCAGTTTATGGGCAGCGTCCTGGCAGTTATCGCCACAATGCCCTCTGTAGTCGGACTTCTTGTTTCGAACCGACCAACAGATGACGAATCATCAGAGTAATCAGAGCTGACAGCCGGAAATGAATGGGTATTAGCCCAGTGGGCACCTCCTCTTCAGCGCGCTTCCTCATCTCTGTATCTGGCATGTCAATGTCCCAGCTGCAAACAGTGCCAGGTGTTGATTTTCTGTCTCAGCAGATCCGGTTCAGCTCTGTCTGCACTGACAGATACAGACAGGTCCCCCCCCTTCCCCACCCAGCTGGGCAGATGTTACAGGAAATGGCGACAGATTGGCATCGTCTGCCTACCCTTGGACTGTCACCGTCCTCGATGTAGATGTGAAACGTCAGTGTTCGGAAGTTTGGATCCCGTGTGACTTTTTGACAAAGAGCATGCCTGATGAGTGCTGGAGTGGGTGTTTGCGGCGCCAAAAGCATTCGTGTTGGTGTTCTCAAGCGTTGCTGCATCAGATGGAATAATGCAACAAGGACGTGGCGTGATACGTCTCGATACATGAATTCCTTTTCAATGAGGAGAGACGCCGAGTGGGAAATGATGCAGTACCTTCAGTTGGGCGAATTCATTTGGAGGCTGAAAATCGAACAATGGCGTCCTTTTGAACACGGGACAATAGCTCTTTTGAGAATAAGCGGCCGGCGGTGGCGAGGTCGAGACGTGCGAAGGTTTTTCGTCGTCGCACATTCCCGCTCCGGCACTTTCAGGAACAGTTTTTGATTTAAAAGATAGATAGGTGTTGTTTCTGTGAGGTTTATTCTCTGCGCCCCGTGTGCAGCTGTTTGTTTGAAAGGAGGCTTCTAATCAGCTGAGAGGTTGTGGTTATACTGACTCACATTACAGCATCTTGTAATCAAGGGAGAAAGAGCAATTAGGGCCCTTTAGACTCTGGATTTCAAAGAGAGAAGGAGCTACGTATAGTCAACCGTTTACTTCATGTTCGCACAGTTTCACATAAAACTAGCACGAGAAACTTAAACCATATAAAACTACTTTTATTCGACGTATTTGAAAGCTCATTTTATATTCATGAAAAGCTGTTACATAATCATGTATAATTTTATGGAGGAATAGAAAAAAAAGCCTAAATGTTTGTGTTTCCTCCACAAAATGTGTTTTGTCACTCGTCAGAGTGCGTCCCCCCCGAATGTTTTTCTCACTGGCACCCGTGTCGAATGGATTTATAATGAATAGCATTATGGGACGCATTGCCCCAAGTTTGTTTTGACTTGCTGATGCAATGATTTGCACAACTCATTTTGTGTTTCGCAGCTCGCTGGTATGGAGTCAGGATACGCTTGTTTCTGCGGCAATGAAGTGGACCTTCACGACCACGGCGAGTCGCCCAGCATGGAGTGCAACCACGTCTGCTTCGGCGACCACACGCAGCCCTGCGGAGGAGACGGCTGGGTCATCATCTTTGACAGTGAGCACTGACTGGTGGCTTTCACACCTTCTTTTCACAAGAATTCTGGATAAACAAACTTTTTGGTCACCAATCTTCAGGTTTAGTACGTACAGTTGACTGTTAATAACTTTAATCAGTATATTATGTTCAGTTAAGCTTTACTTCTTCTGCAGAAGGCTGAATGAAACCTACGGCCTTCCACGCTTTTACACATAAACCCTCGAACCCCAAGCAAGTTTCTGAGTATTTCTTATTTTATATTATTTTTAATATAAAGTCGTGGACCTCTAGAAAAAGTCAAGCCACGGCACCAAGTAGAGAGAGCTAAAAAAAAAATGTCTTCTGTGCAGCATAACAAAGTTGTAATGTCACAAATCATTAAAAAAAAAGGAAGAAAAGTTGAATTTCTTTAAACATATTATTTTACAACAACAACAAAAAAACCCCAGAATCAACAGGTACAACATTTTCTTATTGCTCAAAGGTGTTTAGAAAGCTAGAAAACAAATGATGGCTCTACACAGTACAGATTCTATATATTTTTCCGCTTACATGTTTAATTTGTTTTGCTAAACACAGCCTGCAGTTCAGCCGAAAAGTGACAGAATTTTTGATACAGCTGAGTCACAAATGACTTCACAGTTGGGCAGAATTTTTTAATTGTTCAATGAGACACGCAGAAAAGAAGTGATTTGAATGAAATATCACAATTTTAGGTTCAGGATTTTATTCATTTTTTTCCAACAATGGATAAAACTACAGTTGAGTAGTTCAATGACTGCCAGAAAATTGCAAATGTTATGATTTTCTCTGCTCTTACAGTTTCTAGCTCTGATGAACAGTGTAAGTTCTGTAAAGACAACAAGCCTTTCACACCCACCAGCAGGTTTTTGGGTTCAGAGGGTTAATAGTTTGCTCCCTAGTTTCCAGTATTTTTGTATTAAATACATTTTCTACCTGAAGTTTGAGTGACCTTCATTATTAGCTTTGTACTGATACAGCTTTTTGAACTCTCTGTACCAATTTTGCCGCAGTTCTGATTCAAGGTATCTTCTGATGTGGAGTAGTGATCCTCACAATTTTAATGTAAATAATATGAGGTCAGCCATTGTTGTGTTGGAAACTGAGTGAGCTGTGACCAAAGTAATGTAGCTGATAGTCAATTAATCAATCACACCATGACCGCTTAATAAAGTCAACGTTGGGGAGAATGCCAATCCTGTGTCTGGATCGATGCCATCAAACCACAAACAAGACCCTCAAAGACCAAAAATAACCCAGTAATCAGATTACAGACTAAACACTGTGCTCTCTCTCTTCCAGCCCGAGTGGGGGCGTGCGGTGGGAACTACACCTCTCCATCGGGAGTCATCTACTCCCCCGACTTCCCCGACAAATATGGCGCTGGCCGTGTTTGCTACTGGACTGTGCAGGTCCCCGGAGCCTCCGCCATCCTCTTCAACTTCACCTTCTTTGACATCTCCGACCAGACCGACATGGTGGAGCTACTGGACGGCTACACCAACCAGGTGGTGGCTCGCTTCGACTGGCGCAGTCCACCGCGGGAGCTGCTGAACGTCACAGGCGACTTCGTCATACTGTACTTCTACTCGGATCGCACCAACCAGGCCCAGGGATTTGCTCTTCTCTACCAAGGTGAGATCTTCAAAGCCTATGAATAGTATCTGACATTATCAATCCGTTCAACCTGCCTGAGCTACTGCACCCTCCAAAACCACCAACAGACACGTTTGTATGGTCACATGTGTGCTGGCTCTGCAGCGGAGTTTTGCATAGGAGCCCTCGTTCAGTAGACTGTCGCCGGTTTCAGGCAGTTGTCACGCCACTGGCAGGCCCTTTTCTCTTTTCATTTGCTAGTCAATGTCTCACAGCCCCGGGTGATACTGCATATTTAAATACTGTTTTGTTTTTCTAGGAACTCACTCTTATCAAGCGGCGGCAGGCTGCTTTGCCTCTCCAGAGTGTGTTCCTTGGTGAATTGCACAGCAAGTTTTTATGCCACCTACATACAAAATACTGCCATGCTATGCATCACGCCTGCCTGATTTCACTGTGTAGTAGATGTTTAGTCGGGAAGTAGCGCGTGGAAAGTTGAAGATCTTCACTGCAAATTGTTTAACTTAAAAGATTTTCTTGGAAACAGAGAAGTTGTCCAGCATTGTTTACATACTATGTTCCCCCGTGAATAGTCTGAATGCCCCATAAATGATTTATTGGTCTGGAGAAATAATCAAAGCCCACCCTGATGTTGTTCAGCGTAGGTGACATTCAAGCTCATAGCTGGCTACAGTGAGAGGCAGTCTTCTTCCTCTCTGCCTCCATTTGTAATCCTGTGTCACTTTTTTTTTTCCTCGCCCGGTGGCGTTACAGTAAAAAAACAATATCGCAAGGTCGAAATCTTCTAACCTCAGGACAAGCACAATCCTTTTTCTCCTGCCATCGTGGATCTTGTTCTGCGTGAGACATCATGTAGCCCAGAAAAACAATCTGAGACAGCATATGGGAAAAGGTCACCCCCCCAGAGTAACAGGTTTCTACAGAAAGACAAAATGCAGGTAGAGAGGGGAGGACAGACAGCGAAAGAGAAAGACAACAGTTAGTCTGAGTGTCGACGCTAAATACGTTTAACATCTTGGTGGCAGGCTGAGTGGTCTAAGTGGTAATTTCGGGATAAACGCTCTCAGATGACGATGGCAGCGCATTTCAGCTGTGACTGGGTTTGAAGCCTGGTATTTTGTTTGCAAATGGGGAACATGTGGGAAGTTCTGGGAACATCACAGTCAGGTTGAGCGATTACGTGAAAAGGAATAAACATCCCACGCCGCTTTAACATCCAACCACCATTCATGGAAAGAGTGGAACAGGCCCCGGATCAAATAGTGTTTGCAAGTAGTCCCGGGTGTTTGATTAGGACTTAATCGCAAAGCTGCTGAGAGCAACTTTTACCGAGCAGCTTGCAGAGACAGAGGCAGAGTTGAGGTTGACGTCAAATAAAATGTAGATTGATAAACAGAAGCATCTAGAACTAGCTAAATAAGATGGAGGGATGAAATAGTCTCATTTTTCATATGTCAAGTTACTGAACTGTATGATGTCTGTCAGTAAAATACCGCTGACGTGATGTTTTTCCAGCTGAGTTATCAAATCAAATTGCTTAAAACAACCGACCAAAGAACTTTCTTAATAATATCAGTGGAGGAGGAGCATTTTAATGGATCATCTGGTTGTAGCTGGGCTGCAGGGTGGCGCAGTGGATAGCACTGTTGCCTCGCAGCAAGAAGGTCGCTGGTTCATGTCCCGGTGGGGGCACCGGAATCTTTCTGCGTGGAGTCTCCATGTTCTCCCCGTGCAGCGTGGGTTCTCTCTGGGTTCTCCAGCTTCATCCCACACAGTCCAGAAACATGTTGAGGTTAATTGGTGATTGTAAATTGTCCGTAGGTGTGAATGTGAGTGTGCTTGGTTGTCTGTCTCTAAGTGTAGCCCTGTGATAGACTGGTGACCTGTCCAGGTGAACCTGCCTTCACCCTGAGTCGGCTGGGATAGGCTCCAGCCCCCCATGACCCTAGTGAGGATTAAGCGGTGTATAGATGATGGATGGATGGTTGTAGCCATGAATTCACCTTTATTTCTGTTTTTATTTCAGTTGGTGATTGTTTAATGTGTACTTAGAAAGTCGAAGATAATCTAAAAGGCATAGTTTTGATTCCTCATTAGCTTCACCTGCAGTCAAATATGCTTTTGGACATTTGGGGTTTTACTTACTCAGCCAGTTAAAGAAGAACTTATTTCGACCCGGCGAATTTCCCACTGAGGTACCGATTGTGGCTCCACTACTGTGTCACACTAACGTTGCATTTTGATTCGAGGAAATGTTGTTTTAGTTGGCGCAAACTTTTTAAAGAGGGCAGATTTTTACATGAATCCTTTTACACGTTTGTTTTCAAGTCAGATTGAAAGTAAACACAGAAATGAATCCTCGGCAGCAGATCGGTGAGCACAGGAACACCACCAGTTTCCCAATGTACTTTGTCTTTCTGGTCGTCCGTCCCTACAACGAAAGCCACACATGAACAACTCGGTGTGGCAGATAAATAGAACAGTGATTAGGTCAGTCTGCTAGTGTGATGATTCCTAACGCAGTTGCCCAATGTGCATCCCAGGCGGCTATTTTTTTGCATTTAACTTCACTTTGACTGAAAACCCACATTTTAAATCCATCTTTCTGTGGAAAGCTGCTCACTCTAAATGACCCCGACAAGCACTGTCCACCGTTTTGTGCGACTTCCCTTAAATCTCGCCAACGGAAGTGAAGAGTACAAAGTTAGCATGACCCATAGAGCCACAATGGCCGCATTCATTGAAACACACCAGGCCGAAATAAACCAGAACTCTCTTCTGAGTGCTGCTGCTAGCCCGAGGATGTTTAGTGAATTTGGCCTCTGAAGCTTACAGTTTTGATTCTATGCTTTTGAGATCACAGATATCTTAATTTTACTTCCTACCCACAGGCACAACCGAAAGAGACATGAGTGTAAACATCTCTTTTCTTTGTGAGATGTGTTTGTGGCAGATAAGTGCAGCGCAATATCTCATTTGCATGATTACAGTCACAGCTTGATTGATTCGCTCGTCAGCAAACCTTGTTGCAAATTAAGATGTAAGAAAAAAAAAAACAACCTAAGAGTCAAGTGACACTCATAAATATCAGTGTGAGTGAGACGTTACGCTCCACAGTTTGTTTCTCAGGAGTAACGTTTCGGAGGGAAATACTCAGAATCACACAGCAATTTTAAATAAATCACATCTATGTTTAGGAAAAGTAAATGAAAGGCAGAGGAGATCTTATTTAGGATATTGCTTCCCTCTGGGAACACATAAATGAGTTGAAATAGTCCATGCTCCCTGGCACCGTTGTTTTATGAAGCAAACTCTGCCCATGTGGTGCTGTAAGCAGGTTAAAGCAAACAGGATTTATTGCAAACACTTTTTGAATGATGTCTGGAGTGGAGAGGGAAAAAAAAAAAAGCCCTCAGCGCCACATGTTTACAGCACGCTTGAGTGTTTTTACAAAGTCAATCTGTTTCTTAACAAATGCACTTAGTATTAAATATTCACTCGTGCCTCGGCTGTATATACTTTCAACAGCGTGATCAACATGATGTATCCTATTACTGCGTGCTTGCTGCAGCGGCCCAGTTTACACACAGGAATAATTAAAGGGGCGTTAAGTGATCTATGTCCTCAACTTGTAGAAATTACAACAACATGGCAGAGCTTTTCCTCTGCCGTGTCTCCAACACAGCGCACTCCACTCAGCACTCCTCCACCCGAGAGCTAAGAAAAATATCTTCCACAGAAACAGCCACATTTTAAGGAGGTGACACGTCGCCTCGTATAGAACTGCAATACTTCAGCGCTGCACACTGTGGCTGAAGGCGAGTAATATTAGCAGGATTAATAAGTTCATGGAACGACTAACGTTACTACTGAGAAATGATTTATGCATTGCAAAATGGACAAAATGAATTAGTATGAATAATGAAAACAACAGCTGTTTTGTCTCCGCTGTCTTCTCTAAACTTGTCTCCAACCGTTTCATATTGCCGCTGAAGGATGGAAAGCTCATGGATAATGAAATGCAAATGATGTCGAGCTACATGGAGTCTTGCTGATATAAGTCGATGCCACATTGCCGGGTGACACTGTTGTTTGTTTTGTGAGAAATTAAATATTTCATTTCAGCTGTGCGTTACGACAGAATGTAAAGCAACAACAATAAGAGTCATAAATCCCCGTATGGGACGGATTATAACGTTGATCTCATTGTGATGCTACATAAACGACTGACTCATTCAAATTCATCCAAAGCAGGGCATGCGTCTCTAAATGTTTAAGTGATATTTTACTAAAAACTAAATGTGTCATGGTGGCAGTAGAAATCAAGACGTGGGTTCCTCAGCGTTAAGTTTCCTAGCAATCCATCCAATATACTTTTTAGACCTTTGTCCACATGCAGTCCGGCTTTAGGTGACAGAAAATGTTTGGAAAAGTGAGTTTTTGGCACCATTATCTCCTTTATTGACATGGTTTAGTTCTGTACAGTGGTGACCAAAGTAGTGTTGATGCTAACGTGGCTAACAGGGTGTGTTACAAGTTATATTAAGGAATATCTATCAGTTTAACCGTGCAACACTTTGGTAGCTTGCTATTACTGTTAATAGCTTATTTTTTAGGCTTCTGATTGGCCAACACGCTTCAAGGTTTGGGTTAAAGCTCTGATTGGTGGTTGAGGTGTTGTGGAAATTTTGCGATATCATTAAACTCAGGAAACACAAAACACTTTGGCAGATTTAACATTGTGTACAATACGGAGAAGAAGTACAAATATCACAGCTTTAATAGTGAACTGATTTCTTCTCATTGGTCAGTAGACATAGATATAAATGTAACCCTGTTATCAGTTATCATACCTACTGGAGGTTCTTCTTCCTGAAACCCTAAACCTCTTCAGGAGTGTAAACATATCTTCTCTGGTTGGCCTCAGACCTTTTGACCTGTCGGCAATTCTTCAACAATTATGCTGAGCTACCAGAAGTTTACACGTCTAACAGAAATAGCAGCAAGGACACACGCACATGAATAAACACAAAGATAAGAAATGGCAAAATAAGAGCTGACGATTGTTTTTTTTTGTTTGCATTTTCATGTGGAGGGACGTTTTAAAAACCAAGTTTAGAACTTGTGTGGATGTAAACTCGGTCTCAATCAGTCAATCAATCAATCAATCAAACTCACTCTTTATAGCCGTTTTCAAACAAATCAAATGCAATAGACAAAACATAGGATGATAGTTTTAAAGACTGATGCACACCCAAATAATAGAGGAAGACTAAATAAGTGATAGTTAAGAAGATTAAAAAAAATAAATCAAAGGTTGTAAAATAAAGACTAACTTACTGACTGGCTCACCGAAGCCGACTCTTCTCTAAGCCTTGTTGCTGGCATGAAAATCTGAAGCGATAAATTAACACAACGTGCTTTTGTACCACTTTCATGGGAATAATATGGAATTATCGTCACCCTACAGACAACCAAAACCTGTAACGCTGCACTAGTAGGACTGTATTCATCAACGCTGCTGTTTTAAGCTTCAGAACGAGATTCATGGCTGTTGAAGCTGAAATATCTGCAGGTTGCTCATGCAAGTCGTCACATTATCAGTAGAAATGTCACCTAATGCTGTAAACTTACTGTTGTTGTTTGTTTGTAATTATAGTAGATTGTGGTTTGATCTTGTTACTCACATTAACTATTTTATTATCATACGTTGTGCTACCTCTGTATTATTGCCAGCATCACTTTTACTTTTCCATCCTTGTCTCATTTTAGTTTACTTTTTACTTACTTTTTTTTTTTTTGCTTTTATTTTCTTTCTTTATTGTCTTATTGCTTATCTGCTAGGCGCTGTGTTTCTTACCGTATATGTCATTCTGTTTTGTTTTGAGGCAATATCTGACACAAGAGTTTCCTTCAGGATTAATAAAGTTTTTTTTTTTCTCATCCAAAATCTCCACCTGATAGCTTCGGAAACAACCCGTCTGAATCACGTCTTCCTCTTGTCTCCTCAGCGCTCCGGAGCCAAGACACCACAACAGAGGCTGAAGGAGATGAGGAGGATGAGAGGGAGGACGTCTCCAGCACGACGGGGCCCCAGCTGCCTGCCGGCGTCACCGAGAGATCCAACAGCACGTCGAACGGACATTCCTCCCAGATCCTCTATGTGATCACGTCCAGCCCCGGTAAACCGGAGCACAACATGCCAGGTCAGTGGGCTGGACGCGGCGAGACCACCGGCCACAGCGCTAGTATGTTACCTCCCATGATACTCTGCACCTACTGCACCTTTTCTCACCTCTGCGGCGATGCTGTGGGAGGTTTCTCAGCTAGAATTCCCACGCAGCATGACCCGGTTTCTCTGAAAGCACTAAAATCATGTGTCGAAATGTTCCCGAAGCTTTGTCCCACTGTGACTCGCTGTGATCATACATGGAAATAATGCTACGTGACGCTGTCAGTGACTCAGAAGTGAAGTTACTTTGGGTCTCCCTGCTGATCACAATCAGCCGTCTCGTCAAAGGCTTCGCAGGGTGGACTGACGTGTTTTTCTCTGCTTTCTACTTCCCTCAAATATTATTCTCTCCGAGCCCCCAAATGTTTTCTCCGCCATCTGATGTAGTTCTCAACCAGAAGAGAACAGATGTGTGCTGATAATGCATCAACATTTCTTGACAATTTGCTGGCTGAACACTGCTAACAGGTGTGCCAGCAGTGCTTGAACAATTCCTCGCCTGCTAATCTTTTCAGTCTGCTTCAGTTTGTTTCCATTATGGCGTGTGTGATGTGATTTCTGATGTCTTGCTGCTGTGTCGCTCCCTCCTCGCAGTGTGGACCATCTACGCTCTGGCTGCTCTCCTCATACTGACCGTCATCGCCATGGTGGCAAAGCTGCTGCTGCACGTCACAGTCAAGTAAGTACGAGGATGTTGGAGGCGTGAGTGGTCGACCAAGGCATCAGGTTTTAACGGTTTTATCTGCAGTGTGCTTCGTTCACGCTGCACTGGATGAGGAGTCACACATTTGAAGTCAAAATGTGCAGAATTGTCTTAGTTTTGTTGGTGGAAAATGAGACAATTGCATTAAAAATTAACGTGTTTTTTAGTGTTCAGCAACTTTAGAATTGTATGTGTTGCTGTCTACTACTGTTTTTTGTCGTACGAAGTTCAAATTCTGCTTGTCGCAACCACACAGGCAGCAGAAGAATAAAAAAAAATTAGAAAGAAAACAAGTTAAAATTTGAAATATTAGTTTAAACACTTTGAGCGCAGTGCTGTTGTTTTATTTCCCAGTAAAAATAAAATGAAAAAAACATTTTTCTTCTCCCACCCTGAGCATGAATTTAATAAAAAACAGAGAGAAGATTTCTTATTTTGGTGCAAAGCAAGCTTTACTTTTTGTTTCAAACATATAGTAGGGGCTTAAATATACTCGACGAATGGCCTTGAATGTGGTATTTTTTCTCAAAATTGAACTGAGATTTTGTAACATGATTTCTGTAACATTCATTTTAGCTGATTAAAGCCACCGAAACTTATAAAAACAGAATGAATGCTCCAATATGAACACACATGCAGACAGACAGACAGACGTAGAAGGTCATATGAAGCTTCCCTCCTTCTTACATTGAACAGTTTCTTTATTAACTTTCTCTTCCCGTCTCCTCCTCGTTTGTCCTCTCAGGTCCCCGAACATCCCGACGGTCAGCGGGTCGGACAGCTGCAGTCAGAGCACGGCGTCCTCTGAGCCGTGGATCATCCTGTACCGGCCCTCCACCATCTCCCTGTTCAAGAAGAAGCTAAAGAACCACCACGGCGACCTCAGCCCTCTGGTGGGCAACTAGCGCTCCTGCTGCGCTCCACCTTTTCAAGCCAAACGTTTCCGCCACCCACAGCTACTCCGTATGGGGGCCGTCAGACTGCAGGCCCTCGGACAATGAAAACTCTATGAGGCGCTACGCCAACGAGCCCACGAACTGAGCGGCTCATGACGACTGATTGAGTGAACTGCTGCTAATGGGCCCGAGCGGCGCGGCGGCAGGGCACCTCCGGTTCCTGCTCAGCAGCAGAGGAGCAGGCGGGGCTGTCGCTGGTGTGGGAGAGGAGAGCAAAAGATTGGATGGAGGAAGATCCGCAGCTCCACTGGCAAACGTACAAGGACGCTTTTAACATGCAGAAAGCCATTTGCATCACCCACGGATGTCCCTACCAATCAACATACCTCCAAAAAAGAACAAAAAATAAATAAATACGCACCCTCCACACTGCAGCGAAAAACAGCCAGGAGCAGAATAAGGACTTGCTCAGTTCAGTGGCGACCTTCATCAGCATCAAGGAGAAGATAAAGAAGTGGAGTCTTTGATAAACACACACATTTATGCTGTAACAGTTTTGTATAACTCTTCTAACTGCCTCATACGGATGACGAACACTCGCAGCCAAAATCCTCCCATCCAAAGAGTTGTGTATTTATTTGTCTTTTCAATTCTGTATGCAAAGTGCGAAACCTTTTTTGTGTGTGTGTGTGTGTGTGTGTGTGTGTGTGTGTGTGTTTTGATGTGTTTTACGTGACAGCTAGCTTTCTGTGGGAGACGCGAAAAAGACGTCACTCGGAAGGTAGATATCACAGCACTTTGGAGATGAATCACTCGCCGCAAAAGATCAGAGAACAAGAGCAGAAGCGCCCACTCGTTCGCTCATGGATTCGGGTGGAGAGGAGCAGTAGCTTCATGCAGTGGGGTGGTGGGGGGGGAGTTGGGTGGCACAGATTGCAGACAAACTGCCATTTAGGGAGGCACGGGGAAGATCTGAGGGCTTTTTTTCTGCTCGCTTGTGGGTGGGAGTCTTTCCGGTTTGATGGTTGTTCAAGTGCCTTAAGGATCTCCTCTTCCCTTGTCTCAGATTCCTCACATCTGTTTCTTTCACAAAGCGGACTGAGGTCCCTCACAAAGGTCTGCACTTCTTCACGGTCACAGCAGATATGAAGAGTTTCATTCCAAAACAAGACTTGTGTGTAAAAAACAAAACAAAACAAAAACTCGCCCGTTCTTGTCCAGCGACTGAAAGCGTTAATCTTTCTACCAACAGTCACAACTGAACACATCTCCACTGGATCTTTTACATTTTTGATACATGATGGACATGAAATGTTTTGATTATCTTTTTTTTTTTTCTCCCTACAATGACCACATTTGGATTAGAACTCTTCATATAATGACAGACGAGGCTTTAAAAGAAATGTTTGTTTCTAATTTGTGTGCTCTTATGTGTAGTCTTGGACATTTACTGAACATATTGTTCACATTAAGTTGTCTTTTGATTGGGGGGCGGGGGGCGGAGGGGGGATGAATGCTGTTGTATATTATGTAATTCAGTGTGGAAATAGTGATATTTATGACCGTTCTTTCATTTTGTTTCTCGGCAAAGCATTTGAGAGACCCGTCAAAGTATTTTTTTTGTTTTTTGTTTTTTTTTTTACTTTCTCATCAACTTAGCTCAGAGGTGGAATGCATTTTTTTCCCCTTCGACAGCAGCCGAAGCTCAAGCTTTTACTTGTCACATAGATTTCAGGCCAAAAGGTTGAGTGAGAACAATATGCCCAGACAGAGATGCAACTGAAAAAAGGCAGTCGGTGGTGCTGCTCACCAACTGACAGCGGCTTTGCAGCTGTAACAGTTTTCTGTGCGCTGCTGTGACATTTTAACTACTTGTGAAAGGTCAAAATGTACTAGTGCACCATTGGCATAGTAATTGGCTTTTCCTCTTGTGGGACTGGAGGTTTGAGGAGGTTTTTCTGGAGTTGGTTGCCCCGAATATTTTCTCACTGGCAGGATAAATAAAGAAAACTTTGATGCACTTAATTTAGCTTCTGCTTTCAAGATGAAACAGTACTTATTTGCTTTGTAATGTACTTGTGCAGCAACCTGAGCACTTGAAACTAAAGGTCACATTTCACGCATGATGCAGCTTCGCAGTGACATTCAAGCCAAACGATTTCTGCTTTTCAAGAAAATAGACAGAATTTGAGGGCCATAAAGCGATGAAGAACTATTGTTTCCCAAGCAGAAGTTTGTAAAAAAAAAAAAGAAGTGACTCTGTGCTATATTCTGCCTGTCTGCTCAACTGTAACTCATGTTAATTATTGCAAGGCAAGAGCACATGCCCCTGGGTCTGTGATGTTCAGAGCAGACCATGCGTGGAGAGGGGGAGAGAAAAAAAAAAAGCGTAGATGTGAGAGCGATGGGAAATTAATGTGCGTTCAAATCAAACACAAGCTAACGAAATCTGACAGTCAAAATCTAACAAGGGCATATTTGTTTGGATAGCCTGGTGAATTATGCAAACTCCCATTTTCTGTCCCGTCCTCCAGTCAATCGGAAAATTCCACGCTATCTGTCTTTTCCCCAACTGTAGTCGATGTGAATGTCCTGTAGTGCTCGATGGCATGAAAACAACACCAGAAGCCCTGTGGGAAACCGTCACGAGGGGGCCAAAACATTGTTTTCATGAAATTGTAAATAGCAAAAAAAATAGTGAAAATTTTAATTTATACAGTAAATTATTGTTATTTTGTATGTGAATGGGATATAATCTATCTTTTGTATAAGTGAAGTATCTTTGTAGTTTTATTTAATGTGTCCTGGTTGCAAAATAAACACTGTATGCATGTTTCTTAAGCCTGTGTTGTGCTCATTCTCTTGTTTTGCTCACAGTTTGTTTCACCTTCAAGTTCAATATCAGAAAGCCGAGTCACTGAGAAGCATATGGGCCCCAAATATCAGATCAAGCTTTCTCTCTTTCCATTTGAGATCTGTTCGTGCTCTGTGTGTAAAAATCCAAAGCTGCAGGAGGATTTTTTTTTTATTTTTAGTTTGCATGGTGGGACATCTGCACCACCCTCTCATTGTTTTTTTTTTTTTTCTTCCCGTGAAGCTAAATACCTATCAGATATGTGAAATGACTCCCAGATTGAGTAAGGGAGGGATTTGGAGTGCCATGTGTAACCCATTGGCTCCCCTCTGTTCTGAGGTCAAGCATGCAACCTGCACATTTCAGAGGGAACAGCAGGAGTCCAGCTTTACGACTGGAACACCAGGATAAAAACAAACACGGGGGGACGTGTAACAAGCTGGAACACTTGGGATGTTTGCAGGGATGATTTCTTAATTCATGAAAGGTGTTTTCAGGGCTGGCCTTGATAGAAGTCTTGGCAAAATAATCCTCTAAAATGTTTGCTCGTGCTTCTCAATGAGCTCCTACGGAGGTGCAAATGCAGCAAAGCGGACTCAGGATTTGTCAGTAACGTTTTTAACCGTCTTGGTTTCCCTGAAGTTACCTGTGAGTCTCCTGGGAAGCAAAACACTTGTGCACGGGCTCATCAGTGTTGCATAAGAATCTGTTGATGCTTCCAAAAATTGGAAAGTCATTTGGAAATCAGCCAAAAAAAGCAATGCTGCAAGATATTTAGAGAAGCAATCTCTCACTACACATTTCCAGACATGGGACAGTAAATGATCCGCTCACTCCCTCTACTGGTGACATGATGCTTAACTGTTTTGAGAATCAACGTGAGTTTCTTTTTAAGCAGAAAAATACTCTGATTGAAGCTTTGTTGATCGATTAATTGAAGAAAATAACCCACAGATTAATCATCAGTGATGATAATAACTAGTTGCACCCCTTGTTTTAATCATATTTTTTGGTTTTGTTTTGTCTTCAATATGCCCAGAACCTTTTCAAGGACAGTCTGAGGGAATTGTCTGCAAAAAATAAAGTTACGCTTTATTGCAGCTCTACATCATTTTAATAGTATTTTGTTAATGGTGCATTTTAAGAATGGTATCATTTTATTACTTGCTAGGTTAAAAAATAATCTTTCTTAGCCACAAACAACCAGACATGTTGCCAAAAGTGTTGAGCGAATGCTTAAATTTAAGATGCTTTCCTCTAATTGTGTCGCTGTAACATTAATCCTGAACAGTGCCTTATCATGGCTCCTCTGGGTCCCTGTGAAAAGGCCTCGACCCCCTCCGGTCAACCTTCCCACAGCCAAGGAAAAGAGACCGGAGTAAGAAGATCCCCCTGAACCCCAGTCGACCAGTAATTAAGGCAACAATGGGACAATAGGAGGCAGTGTCTGGTTACTGTAAGAGCGAGAAAGTGAGAAGAATGGAAGACAATGGCCGCCACTTTCTGCACTCAGGCTACTGAAGTCGGGCAGATTCAGAGCCTGTTAGAGGGAAAAGGAGCTGCTCTCCCTCTATGGATTTGAAAAAGATCCCTGTGAACCAGGTTTACCCGCCGTGCAGGAACTTGCCTGAGTTGATCCGCCTCGATCTGCAATATTGTCTCTGACCCTGTTGCAATTAAGGCGCTCTTATGCCCTTCAGTGGTTTTGAGTGCAAGCGTCGGCCTGTTTAATGCTGGAGATTTCCCTTCTATTATAGCGGCTTTATGCTGCTGAAAGCTGTTTATATACACTAGATTTCACCCCGGCCTTCAGGGCAGCCGAACGGTGCTAAAAATAATCAAGCAGCATTTGGTTAATGAAGTTATTAACTCTGCAAAAAACACGCTGAGAATTCACAGATTGCAGCTTCTCAGAGGTGCGGATTTGATGCTTGTCTTTGTAAACCAGATGAACCTCAGCTGGTTGGACATTAATTGTACACTTGGTAGATCAGCTCCCAGCTCTTATTAAAGTGTTGTTTAAAGTGTTGCTGGAAAAACAGCTATGACTCCTATGAGCTTAAAAATGTAAGACTTTAATCTGTTGCAATAGGAAGAAAGGCATAAAAGTTTACCCCATGGAACCCTTCTTGAACATATCACAAACTCTCGTGCTGTATATCAAGTGTTGACGTCGGAGCGTCGTCTAAAGCACCATCGAGTACTTATGTAACACTCACAGATGTGTTAACGGTCGTAGTGAGCTGCATCCCAAAGACACATGAGCACTTGATTTCTCTGAAAATGACTAAACACGTAAGAAATTTATGATGAATAGCTGAATAACATATAAATGAATTATAACAAAGAGCCTGTGATTGAGTTTGTTTTCACAGCGTCCCAGAGAAAGAAAAACTAAACTGCAAATGTCATTTAGCATAATGCTAAACCAATGTAACATGGTGATGTATTTGGGTTTTGGACTTTGATATCATCACTTTGGCTTTTAAATTCTTCCAACTGGCAATTTGTCCGGAAATAAAAAATGATCAAGCAGAAACATAAATAGAAAGGCTTTCAGATGAGCTGAAATATGGATGCTGATACACTTCACCAACAGACTTGTAACCAGTATAACTGATTAACTGATCAGTTGTCATCTATTTTGATATTTGATTTATAGATTTGAGAAATCTGTTTAAGTAGAAAAGTCTAAATTCCTCTTAAAAAGGAATATTTTCTGATCTTTCCTCCTCTGTGAAGATCTTTTGTCATCATAAGTTTTGGGAAACACTGAGGAGCATTTTTCAACATTATATAGACGGAACAACTCATCAACTGGGTGAGAAAATGACCGACAGATTAATTGTCAATGAAAATAATATTTAGTTGCAGCCCGTGTTTTACTTGACATAGTTTTGGGGCTTTCTTTTGTTTTTAATGTAGCCAGATGTCTCTAAAAACAATCTGAAAAAATAAAGTTAACTGAATTAATGATTATTTGTTCCAGCTCTACATCATTTTGTTAAATCTGATTATATGCTTTCTTTTAAGAATAACCCAATAAATCTGATATAGCCTACTCTACTAATATCAACCACAAAGTCCCATATATTCAATCATTTATTGGTGGTTAAGCTGAAATATTGATTCTGTATATGATATTCTAGATGGGGTTGAATACAATTATGTTGTTGATAAGTAGAATAATGAGCACAAATGCCCTTTTTTTTTTCTTAGAGTTTTACACCTGCTGCTGAAAATAAAAATCTGAATGAGAACGTGTTTTCTTTATCTTGATTTTATGTTGTATTGGAACCCCTGAACCTCACCAAGTGCATTTTCTATTAATTTTAGGTCAAGGTGACTTTAAATTGGTGGAATTATTGCATGAAAATGTGAAGAGAAACAAACTGCAGCTCAACAGAACATCCCACAGACAATTAATCCATTTATTGTTTCTTCTCTAAAGTTCTACAATTACTCACAGTCTGCTGATAAAGTGCACCAGCAGCCAGATTGTTTGTTATTTTAAAGCCAGTTTTATTGATTGATTTTTTTTTTTTTGATCAAATATTTTTCCAGTGCAAATTTCCTGTGAGAGGGATTTAAAAATAAAAACCCAAATCCCAAACGTATCACTGTTATACATTTATTTAGCATTACTAAAAAAAAGACATTTGGAGTTCTTCTTGCACCAGGGCACCGTGAACGCAAACTAATTCTTAGGTTATCGTTTACTAATATTCCAATAATCTATTCATAATCAAATGTAAAAAAAAACAAACAAAAAAAAAAAAAACAACCAAAAAAACAACAACAACAAACAAACAAAACAAAACAACAACAAAAAACCCAAAACTGAACAGCGTACATTGCATCTGGAGTATAAACGTCCCGTCGCATATGGATGACGACATCCAGTCACATAATCAGGCAACATGGCGGCATCCATGAGACTGCTGGTCCGCCGAGCGATCCGTCTTTCTCACCGAAATGTCACCGCGACCGCCGCCGGAGCTGCAGCTCGGTCCGGCTGCTGTCGGGGACCGTCGGTCTGTCGGTGTTTCAGCGATGAAGCCGACAACAGAAGTACACATTTTGGCTTCGAGACGGTTCCCGAGGCGGAGAAAGCGAAGAGAGGTGAGCCAGACGCCGTCTGTTGTGTATACCAAACTTCATTGAAAATTCTCGCTCTTTAAGAGTTCGCTGACTCTCTCTTCATGTAACTACGTTGACAGACGGCGTTTGAGATGATTTTAGCTTCGTGAGGATTTGCTTAACTATTCGGCATATGAAGTGACTTTCAATAAACCTCTAAACCCTTTAAGTTGAATCCTTTACCTTTGAAGTGTGTAAATAAGCGGTGATTTTACCAACATGCTTGTTGTTTGGTTTATTTTATAGATGCCGAATTTAGAAGTGGTTGATATGACTTGGTTTTAAATCATCATGAAAGCGAGGAAATCTGATTAGACAGTTTTTAGTAGAGGTTGTAGGAGACAAAACGTGTGTGGGCGTGGCATGACTACAGTGTGCATCTCACACATGCTGTTTTATTATCAGCGTTACCTCACAACAAGGTTTCAACTTTCTGTGACTCACAGAGAAACTCTGAGCTGTTTTATGATCCAGTGTCATTTACTGTGTCGCACATTTGCCAGGGTCGGGAACAGTCTGTACCCGAGGGTCAGTTGATTGACCTCATCTGATTGTGACTGCAGACTGTACAATACACAACAGAAATGAGTGCAGTGTCATTTAAATGTAACATGATTCCAAATTGTATCACCTCTCAAAAACTGTATTATTTCTAGGTTGACTAGTAGAGTAAATCAAAAACTGACATTTTAGTAGGATACAATGAAAGCAAGTGCAGGTAAAGTCACTACACATGTGGTCACTGACTGAAACTGAACGCACCTCTAATTAGCCAAACTGCATGAACATGGTTATAAAATGACCTGCAAACACCAGAACTTACTTTTACCTGTGGGCTGATCAACGACCAACTAAAACAACAGTAGAAACACAGTCGCAGCAGTAATCAGGAGGTATAGAGTGAGCTGTAGGACCATGAATCAGAGCTGCAGTGGTCGTCCTCCTGAAGTGATGCCGCGGACAATCTAACTCTGACAAACAGAAAGGTCGGTGAATCCGACTTAGCACAGGGCTTACCAATAGAAACTAGACCTGCTGAGGTAGCTCTGACAGTGTTGTATGACATCAACTATGGACGGGGAGCAAGAACAAAAAGCTCGAAGGACCAAGAAAGAATATTGAATGAAGCTGAATGAATATTGAGATGTGGTCAGGTGTGGCATGTTTGAAGTGAACCTGACCAAGACTACCACAGTGACTGTAAAGTCCTGACAGTGACGCTTGGAGATATAAAACCGTCTGAAGAATAGCTGAACATCTTTCTAGAAATTTGATCTCCTCCATGCTGAGGAAGATTGAGTCTGTCATTAGAAATAAAGGGAAACATTGAAGGTATTAACAAAATAAATATGATAATAAAATAGAGCTGACCAAACAGTGCATAAAGATTCAAGTGAAAAACATGATCCACACAGAGTCACAACATAAAATACACCCTAAATAACTTTCAGTGGGACGGATGTTCTTTTTTTTTTTTCTCTCTTTGGTTTTTCAGTGTATAAGGTGTTTGAGAACGTGGCGCAGAAGTATGACGTTATGAACGATGCCATGAGTCTGGGGATTCATCGACTGTGGAAGGACTCACTGCTGCACGTCATGCACCCTCAGCCTGGAGCTCAGCTGCTGGACGTGGCGGGTGGAACAGGTACAACAGATTGCATGCAACGACTGATCACTTAGTTGTCGACTTGAATAACTTTTCAAGTGGAAAAAAAGTCAAATGTCTTTAACTACAGGGTCTTAAATCTGAATATTTTCTGGTTTCATTTCTTCTCTATGACGCTAAACGGGACGTGTTTGGGTTGTGATAAAAACAAGACTTTTGAGGACATTACCTTGTGCTTTCACAAACACTGATCAACATTTCTTAACCCTTGCAGGTGACATTGCTTTCCGTTTCCTGGAGTATGTTCGTTCTCAAGAAGAGCGGCAGAGGCGGCGGGCGGCGCGGTCCAGCCAGACGCCGTCGTGGCAGGACATCTCCAACAACTACTCCACCGAGGATGAGTCCCGAGAGTCCAGAGCTGTGGTGTGCGACATCAACAAGGAGATGCTGAAGATGGGCAAGCAGAAAGCCGACAGTCTGGGTGTCAGTGCTGGTGAGCTGCTAACTTTTCAAAGTACTTCAGGTGTCTTCAGTCTGTGTGCTTGAACTGCGTTTTTTTTTTTTAATGGAAGGTTTCAGTGAGCATGTTTACATGTGCACAGGTTTTAGCAGGATTCTTGTACTGTGTAGAAAAATATGGCATTTAATTTTAGTATGTTCCAGGTCTGAATAGACAAAAGTAAGTGTGAGGTGTGATTGATGACGCATTGCAGAGGTGCTTTCCTGCCTGTACATGTGCCAAATTAGTTTTAAAGAACAAGCAGCAATATGCTAAATTGCACATATACATATCATCACAAGTAATATTTTTCTTCACAGCCGTTGCCTATTTTTGTGTTATTATTTGTAGTAGCAGTATTGTGAAGATTATGGATTACAATAGAATGTATAATAATAATAATTACAATAATATAGAATAGAATAGAACTTTATTGATCCCTTTGGTGCAAACATCAGGGAAATTGTTGTACTAGAAAACACCAACACAACATTAGTAATAATAATAATAATAATAATAATTACACTGGATACAGCAACAAAATTGTATATATACTATATACACATATAGTTTCATTTTATTTTTTAACATAAGGCTCCTGCAAGATTTTGAAGATGTATGTATTCATGTTGCAGCATTTCATGGTTTTAATTGACATTTTTTGGGCACATTTATGTGATTATTTTCAAAATTTGAATATGTTTTTGCAAA